AGTCTTCAGAGCAAAAGACCGGTACCGTATGCAGCCATGGCAGCAGTTGATCAGGAGCTCGACCGACTGGAGCGAGCCGGTGTCATCACACCAGTGAACTAATCTTCAGGGGGCTGCGCCGATTGTTGCTGTGAGAAAGCCGAACAGTAAAGTGCGAGTCTGCGCCGATTTTTCGACTGGCCTGAATGTCGCATTGGACGGCCATCAACACCCCCTTCCGATACCAGAGGATATCTTTGCCAAGCTGAATGGTGGAAAGTGTTTTTGCCAAGCTCGAGTTGTCCGATGCCCACCTCCAGGTCGAGGTTGATGAAGGTTCGAGAGAATCGGTGACCATCAACACTCATCGTGGCTTGTACCAGTACAACCGCCTCACTTTTGGAGTGAAAACAGCACCAGCCATCTTCCAGCAACTCATGGACACCATGCTAGCGGAAGTTTCTGGGGCCGCGGCGTACCTGGATGATGTCATTATAATGGGTAGGACAGAAGAATAACTATTTGAGTGGCTCAGTGAAGTGCTTGTACGCATCCAATCATACGGTTTCCGTATCCGTGAAGACAAGTGTACCTTTGTTTACACCAACCATCAAGTTGCTCGGCTTCATTTCCTCAAAAGACAGTCGCCGCCCTGATCCAGAAAATATCCGAGTTTTTCAAAAGATGCCCCGCATGGGCACTTGCAATCGTTGCGTTCATTCTGTGGCCTAATCAGTCATTACAGCGCTTTTTTGCCCGAACTGCATCACTTGCGTGCGCCGATGAATAAGTTTCTGAACAAGGGCCAAATCTGGAATTGGACGCCAGAATATCAGACTGCGTTCGAGCGGTCAAGTCACTGCTGGCTTCAGACCTACTCCTAATTCACTTTGATTCCTCCCGGGAAATTGTCCTTCTCACAGACGCATCGTGTCTAGGGATCGGTGCGGTAGTTTCCCATATGCTTCCAGATGGATCTAAGAAGGAGATCGCATATGCCGCCAGGACGCTGAGGAAAGCCGGACGAAACTACAGTCGGATCGAGGAGGCATTGGCCAGTGTTTGCTGAGAAGAAATTTCACAAGATGCTGTATAGTCGCCGCTTCAAAGTCTTGACGGATCAAAAGCCGCTGCTGGCCATTTTCGGCTAGAAGAACAGAATTCTTGCTTATACAGTCAATCGGCTCCAACGATGGGTATTCACCTTGCTATGATTCTGAAATCCATTATCAGACAACGGATTCGATGGGCCACGCAGATGCGTTGTCATGCCTCATTGATTCCCAGCAGCGAGAACACGAGGACATCATCATTGCTTCAGTTGAGATCGAACCTGATGTCAAATTCCTGGTGAGCGAGGCACTACACAGTCTGCCAGTTACGGCCAATGCTGTGCGGGCCGAAACGCTTAGAAATCCAATCCTGAAGGTTACACACTTCCACAAAACCAGCTGGCCACGTTCGTGTTGATCTGTCGAAATGCAGCTATTCTATCAGCGAAGACATTCGCTCTCCATTGTAAACGATTGCGTCATGTTCTCAGAGAGAGTAGTCATCCCGCAGGCTTTGCAAGATAGAGTGCTGCGGCAGTTTCATGCAAGAAATCCAGGACTCAACAGAATGAAAGCGCATACCCGAAGTTATGTGCATTGGCTGTTTATGGAGACAGGTGGAGCAGTTAGCTAGAAATTGTGGCAACTGAGCTACCGCTTCAAGGGCACCGCCGAAGACTGAACTCCACTCGTGGCCTAAACCAACTAAATCTTGAAGCCGTGTTCACATCGACTTTGCAGGCCCAAGTAATGGCTAGAACTTTCTCATATTGGTCGACGCTTACAGCAATTGGCCCGAAGTGTCCCTCATGAGCAGCACGAAAACCAGCGCAACAGTCTCGAGGTTGCGACAAATCTTCAGCAGGTTCGGATGCCCTGAAACATCGGTGACGAACAATAGGGCACAGTTTACTTCGGCCACATTCACGGAGTTCTGCAAACGCTGCGGCATCAAACATGTGCGGTCTCCGCCATCCCACCAATAATCGAAGGACCAAGCGGAGAGATTTGTGGATACATTCAAACGCGCTCCTCTTAAATCAAGGAGGGAAGGGGATATAGAGGTGATCGACCGCTTCCTCTTTCTGTACCGATCTACACAAAATCCACAAACGCCGGGTGGAATATCACCAGCAGAGGCAATGATGAAGATAAAGCTTTGCATGTCATTGATGCAGTTCGGCCGTCCTCAGGGTCCACAGCTGGTGAAAGGAATCTCACGATGGAATGTGACTTTTATCGGAGGTATGGTGCTAAGCGACGTTCGTTTAAACCGGGTCAGCCAGTACTAGTACTTGATTACGTAGAAGGACACGCAAAATGGACGCCAGGCACGATCCATGGTTTAAAATGACTTTATGTACAGGTAGCCCGGGTTGATCGTTCTTGGGTTCAATTGTTCGCCGAGCTTCGTAATTGGTATGCAGACGTTTCATCACCATGCGAGGTGACTTCCTCAGTGCGCTGTAGGGTCAAACGTAATCCGCTGGTTTGGCCGTCGATTTGTGATTGATTAGCAAGTGACTTTTGAATTGGCTCTCTCAATCGGTTTACAGGAAAGGAACACACACCGATCAGATTCTAAACTACTACAGTAATCACCCGAAATGTCACAAAATAAGCTGCGTGCGGACTCTCTTTCGTAGAATTGAAACACATTGCAGCACTCTTGAGGCGAAGAAGAAAGAAGAGCTATACTTATTCAAATCATTCCAACTAAATGGATATCCACGCAGCTTTGTCCGGCGATGTCTAAACAACAAAGCTACGACCTCTCCGCCTGCACAAACGACAACAAAGCGAATCGTTCTACCTTATGTAAAGAACATCTCCGAGATGACAGCAAGATTATTCAAACAGCACGGTCTTACAGTGGCTCACAAACCAACCGCCACATTGAGAAGAACCCTGTCGAAACCCAAAGCTAGACCTAAAGCACATGAAAGACGAAATGTTGTGTACAAGATACGGTGTCAAGATTGCGATAAGAACTATGTGGGTCAGACAGGAAGACAACTGTCTACAAGAATACAAGAGCATAAAAGAGCTTGTAAGAAGCATTATGCTCTCTCACTTGTTTCAATACATACAGACGAAGAAGGACATCACTTCGACTGGAACAACGCAGAAATCCTAGCACAAGGAGAGACACAAAAAGGAAGAGAGTTCCTCGAGGCATGGTACTCGACGAAGCACTCGATAAACATGCACGTCGAGATTGACCCGGTTTACGAAACGATAAGACGGAGAGAATTAAAACAACTTAAAAACCGTCGAAAGCAGTTAACAGACCCGTTAATAACACAGCAGCAACAACCGGGACAAAACCATCCTATGGAACGTCCATATTCACCAGAGAAGCTGGGTAGACGAATGGTCACGGGGCACAGATTGAGAGAGCCAATTCAAAAGTCACTTGCTAATCAATCACAAATCGACGGCCAAACCAGCGGATTACGTTTGACCCTACAGCGCACTGAGGAAGTCACCTCGCATGGTGATGAAACGTCTGCATACCAATTACGAAGCTCGGCGAACAATTGAACCCAAGAACGATCCATGGTAAGCGCGCGAACATCATTCACAACGTGCTGGTTGGAACGCAGGTGTGGGTACGCCATGCAAACCAACTGCGACCAACACTGTGTCCACCACACGCAACAGAATCCGCCGAGCTTCCATTTAACCAGTTGACGGACAGCTTCAACCCTTCTAAACAGCCCGTGGAAGAACCCTGCTATCAGGCGAATGATAAGACCGTAGAGTACGGAAGTTGAATCCATAACAGCACAGCCAAGGCGATGGACCGATAGGCGTAGTACCCCTTCTAGGAGGCTTCAGGTCCATCTCAGGCTACCATCATACACCGCGGCAGCAGTTTCAGGAGGGCAGGTATCCGGGAAAAGATAAAAACATAAAGGAAAATCCATTATTTTAGCAGTTAATCGATTATCTTCGATGCAGCAATGATTTCGAAGATTCCGGAACCTTCCATTCCCTCACGTGATCGCTAGCATATGGAGTTTTGGGCAGGGAGGCTGCTAATTTTACCAGGTGACCTTTGTTTTTTAGAAGCCGAAGGTCGTTGAGTTCCCTATATATTTGGCGGAGTTTGTGCAGCGTTTTGGCGGCATTTTTGGCAGTGTTTTTGCTAACACGTTTTTAAGCACACAGAGCTTGGAGTTACTAAGACCTCAAATGTCGTTATGGATGAGGTCTGCAAGTTCTAGCCACCAAAAGTCATGCAGTGATGCAAAACGAAACACAGATGCCTAACACTTGTTCGGCAGATTTGCTGGAGGTTTGTCAGTAGAGCTATAGATAATGCAGATTAAAGGATGTCTAGTTCCTATGCAACAGTTTTGCCACATATCACTGAATTTCGAGACAACATACAACGCTAGTCCTGTACCACCCATAGGTTGTGTCCATTGCTGTGGCTAAAATCCCGTGCCTTCTGTCTTACAATTTACACTAGCATCTACCACCAAAGGAATAGGTGAACAAACCAGTTCGGTTGGTTTAATGATGCATAGTAACCTTCTCGCAAAAGCGTGGAACAGGTGCTGAATTTTTAGGTTTTATCGGAAACCAAAAAGCAATAGATATCACGCAGACCCCTTCTCATCACTGCAATGGGTCCCCCACAAGTGTGTCCCAAAACGGTAGACCAACGAGACTAAATAGTATTGAGGAATGCTTCGGAAACAAGTAGGCACAAAAGAACCAAACCGGTTCCCTAATGTGAGCTGAATTAGATGAAATCGGCCATCTTATTATGCGGCACAGTAGCTGAGGTGTTCCCCACCTCTAGTTAACGTGTATGATGATGATGGTCACCTTATTACTCAAAGATGAGTAACCGAAGGTAGCTTATCCCATGGCATAGAGTAGCTTACATTGATGATGTAGAATATCGTGGTAAATGAGCAAGAAAACCTTTAGAGAGCCTATTGTCCCTTATTATAGCCCTTATCAACAGTCTGCCGTCGCAGCCGACCCACCCCATCACGTATCATCCTCGAAGGATCGATGGGTAGAAAAAACCACTGCATTCGCGGCTACCAGGAGCAGCGGCCCCTCTCCCATTTATGAAGGCATGGAATACTGGCATGTGTTAGACAATGCTGACACCACGCAATGGACGCGCGTACCTATACGACTGAGTCCAACGGTCAACAACTCAACTTATGCATCCAAACCTTCCTTGAGCCTTGGCAAACAAATGGATGGAAGCAGATGTCATCCGACCACCAGGTTACAACTGACAGGGACACGACCTCCATTGCCCTTCTCGGCGATCACAAGTCAATGGAGTCAACGTGACCAGACTACGGTAGGTAACTCTCAAGGCTCCGCGACTGTAAGAACCCGAGCAGATGTCACCGCGCGTCGCGCCTCAACTGTGAGCCCTGTTCGTCGTAAACCAGATGCACCTGTTGCTGAAGAACCACAACGCAACCAGATGACTCAGACCCCGGAATCCGTAGTGAATAGATCCATCAATGCGGCGGGCGGCGATGGAGTTTGCCGGTTGTGTGCCTCCACTATCTGCACCGATGAAAGAAGGGAGGGCGTTCCAGACAAGCCTTACAGTTCGATATATTCCGAGGTAAGTAAACGAGAGATGCTGTTGTTGGTCACATGAGTTTGTCGAAAACATTCTGTAGGACTATTGACGTATGGTCCCCTATGATATAGTTCCGCACTGTAACCTACCACAAGAAAGTACAGTGATCTTAGGCGAACCATATCACAGTCACAAGGAGACTCACGGGAGAGACGATTGCCAGCACTTCCAGTTGGTAATCTTACCTGAAGGGAATGAGGGTTACCCAACAGCATACATGCAGTAGCCAAATGTTAACATGAGAGTATGATACCATCCGTCACATGATTTTATAGGATTCTTGGACCTTAACTGAAACACTGGTCTCAGACCGCCAATTCAATATATAGCATCCCACGAAGGGACGCCATGTGGCTACCAATCCGAATGCGTGGAAGCACCTATATAAGCAGGGCAACTGAAAACAAATCCGGAGGACGCCTTTCTAACACAAGTGTGCCGCTCGCTTAGTTTTGACCGAGACGGGATTTCAGTTTCAACAAACATGAAGCAAACTCTTTTCAAAGAGAAATGAGTAAATTCAATTTGCAATAGGCTCTGACTCAGAGAGAGGATAATATGCTTTCGAGTACTCTCTGTGCTTGTTTAAACAGCGCAGCTGCATTCTTCACGGTACTGGAGATGTCGTTCACTATTTGGTGATCAGTTTGTTGTTTTGCTACTCAGGAACATGCCCCAGCTACGGACGCAAATAAGGGTGCATCGGGCGTCAACGTCAATGCCACCGGTCAAACGAGTCTAACAGTAAGTACTTCTAATACGACCTAGTGCAGTGTTCCTGCACAAGAGTGAGGTCACATGCAAATAATGGACGGACTGAGTGTCCAGTAGAGTAAAAGCCGCAAGATAAATGTGAAAACTAGATATGAGACTGCCTGAATAACCACATAGATCTATATTCCTTTATACAGATTCAGAGCCCGTAGAGGATGATAAGTATGACCAGAGCTACTATTTCCAGCTGTCACTCCAAACGTGGAAGAATGCGGCGTATCTCACCGCAGCGTTGCAAGTTATTATCAAATCATCATGGCAATAAACGCCAAACCAAGAGAAGAGATTAGAAGTGAGAGAAATCAGTCTAGCGTTGTCATAGAGAGAGATCTCTGGAGTAGACGACGCTTTTAAGATACCAATACTCTGCGCCATGGGGCATAGCTGTAGAGGTAACCTCAAAAAGATGCAATTGCTAGATATACGTGGAAAGCCAATAAGAAAAGAATGAATATTGACGCAAACAAAAGGTGGAAAACATGAAGTATTATTGGTATAGGAGATGAATAAAAAGTCCCGCTACTAAATTAATCTGCACGGGTAGCACATATCCGAAAGGCTGAATGTCAGAACACATTTTAGCCTGTGTAGATGGTGATGTGTTCAAAGCTTCCTAATATTGTGCATTTTCCGTTGTCATACTGCAGGAATGCCCCGGTGCCCTCGGAGTGCAATCGGATCATTTTCGCAACCTAACTGTGGCAGCTACGTGTGAACAAAGCCATCAACCATTGCGCCTGAGTGACACCGAAAGACTGAATCGAATCAATATTCGAATACCGTCACAACGCAAATTTTTGCTGGACAGAGTGGCCTCAAATGACGATATCTGTATCGAAACAGAAACGCCGTTCGCGTTCAGCATCGCAGCAACTGATGATAAGGTATGCATTACCAAAGAATCCTCTGCAATTAATCTGAGTCAGTCAGTCTCCATGGGTCATCAAGGAAATATTGGGCGACGAATCCCAGTCAGCCTGCGTCTCACATTTGGATCTGAAACTGACTTGGTCGCGAAGGACGACGGTGAATTAAATTTGACTCAGGGGGAACCATATAGATCCACTTATCATATTGATCTGCCTATTACCAAAGTCAATCAACTGAGTCGTGTGGTCCTGAGAAAAAATCCGACAAATCCCGATAATCCGCTGCGATATAGTTTGCCATGCATACCTTTTCGAGGAGAGGAGATTGCCATGACCGAACCAGTCTCATAAAGCTAGTTGAACATCCAAGCAAAGCAAGACAGGTGAGGATCAATCCGCTCACTCAATTCCCCACATGAATGCGAATTCATGCGCGAAAGTATGGAGACATCATATGAAAGGCACGATTCCAAACATTTGTCAGCGGATGAATGAATTTCCCTGGCTCTTATCCCATCAACACTCATGCCCAGAGTATTATTATGCATCCCTTTTGTGATTATAGGCCGCCATCTTTCCCTCATAAAACTATATAACTGCGTTGGCTCATTAGCCGGTCAAGTATACGCAGGACGAGTCTATGATTGAGACAATCCCACAATATAGCGGCGAACAAAGGTCTTTAACCGAAGAGCTTCTCTGAGAGAATCCAGTTTTGGGAAAGAACTAATGTACGCAATCCTCGTCCTTGGATAAGTACGTACAAACCTGATGAAGAGTTAGTATTGTTGCATTGAACACTGTAGTAAAACCGAGGAAGGTGGGTGCGCTCAGTTGATACCTAGTTGCAACGGTAACTGTTTTTTACGAAAAATATTGAATCGGACTCGGCTACTCAGGCCATCTTACTCTCAAGCATTGCGGCAGATCTAAGTCATTTCGCTAAAAGGATTTTAATACGATGTGCCAGTGTGGGTGGAAGTGGACGGAACACCAGACGATAGCTGCACTGCTTAGATATTAGGAAACACCGTAGAGAAACGCAGCAGTGAAGCATCATTTTGGCTCCGCAAGCGCCAGATAAACCCCGATTCAAATTGGCAAACGAACAATCTGGCAACCGGACCAATTGCGGGTGGAGTAATCGGATGGAACTTAGTGCAACTGCCGGCCCGTAGTCTTAAGGATCACAAACTTGCATTGTAATCCGAGGGCGCGGGGTCGAGCCTGCGCAGGGATCGGGTGTTCCTCGCAGTATGCTTAGCCTACGTGTGACCGGTGGTGGTCACGCGGAAGCGAAGCGTCGGTACTGCGTACCGGAATACTGCTGATACCCATTTTAGCGCATATGCAGTGGGTTTTACAGCGGAATAAACCTACGGAGACGAGCAAACTGCTTCATCCCTTTAAGCGCAGGCGAGTATGTAGCAACGGATGAGTTTAGCACATCGCGGTAAAGCAGGTACATCAGAGAAAAACGGTTAGTTCGGCCAGAACAGCCTGCCGTTGGTAATCGAAATTAAACCGCTGGTTGCTGCAGCTAATATAGGGGGTAAACGCTGTGAAGAACAGCTAAGTAGACCAAACCAGAGTGGAACGATAGACTTTCCCCCATCGTTACTGCTGTCTGGGAATACACGGGTAGAGGCTTGTGTGTACAATCCTCAACATCGCCAGGCCAACTTGTGCAGTTGTCCTCACCGGCAGACCCTTTGCAATGCGTAAATCATGCAAGCAAACAAAACCGAATGGGTTGGAGAATTGCTAGTGAAACGAGAGGAAACAATGCACTTGGGGCACAGGTCGGTTGTTCGATTGCAGCTAGTAGGGCACACCGGCCACGTCAACTGAGATTCCTACTGCATCGTTGCCATGGAAATGACGATCTGTAGGCCACTGGAGTGTTGCATGGGATGTGAGGAAAACTGGTGCAGTGTGCACCTCCTTGTCGCGAGTGCCGATCGCATTCACAATCCAGTGGACTATTGAATTGGACCCGCCATGGAGACCGTACGAGAAGTTTAATGGTACAATGGCATAGTATGGGCAAGTAGGCCAAGGTTTGATAAGTCCTGTGGAATGATCTGTGTGAAATACAATAAGTTAAAAGAAAAATACGGTCAACAAAGTAATCCGCGCGTTTGCGAAGTTACCATGATATCCACGTTCACACATGCAAATCTGCAAATCACAAATTCGTTGGGGATTAGCGAACAAAGTATAGCTTGCATCTTGTCGTCATACGATGGACGGGAGTAACGTCACGTAATCCAAATCCATTGTTTATAAGAATGAAAAATGTGAGCTAGGAAATGACCAAAGTCAGAAGAGCATTCCATAGTCGACAAATCCGGATGGGAAGTTATGGTAACATTTCAAGCGGCTGTTTGGGGTGGCTAGTTTCAACTAGTGGCCCCATATTTTTGTGTTGCGGCTAAGTTCAGGATAGGATCGTACAAGATTTGATATATCAGAATGAAGTGCGATGAGGTCACCCAGTAAATGCCGATAAATTCCGCTATACATTCCTAGGGTTTTCAATCGCAGAGAGCAGATGGAATAAACCCCTTACCGTTTTGGTTGCCCTCTGCCGTGGGGTCTCCAGTGTAACCAGATCGCGTTCTATCCAGGATTGCCATGCAAGAATCGAGTACTCCACATGAGAGCTCACATACACGCTGAGCATTCGCGGCAAGATGGAAGTGTCGAAGTAACCGAAGACTGTCCGTAAGAGACCAACATGTTGGTTCGCGATTTCGAACACCTTCAACGACTGTACCGAACAACCGAGATCGCCTCGTATCATCAAACTCGCGCTCTTGTAAGGCGGTCTTCAACATGTGGTCCCCAAGCTTACATGTGTTAGTGGGCTTGTGGCGTATATGCAAAGCTTTACACTAGCCCGTCTTATCCGGAAATAGCTTAAGTTTTGAGCGCACAAAAACACGGTTAAGGTCTCATTGCAACGAGTCATGATGTTCCTGATTACCGATCGCCCGCGATAACTTGATGTCATCGGTAAAAAGCAAGGAATTCAACTTGATGACGTGCATGAAATCATTAAGAAAGACAAGGAAAGGTGCGGTCCCAGCACTAATTTTTGTGGAACATCGCGTTCGACCTTAAGCGGAGTAGACAATGAGCCCTGAACACACATCTGCAGGCGCCGCTAAAGTAGGAAGTATCTGATCCATCCAAAGCAAAGGTTCCCAATGCGGTTGATTTGCAAATGATGAAGAAGGAACGGTTGGTTAATGCGGTCGAAGCGTTTGGAAAAGTCCAAAAGTGGAAATCAATTCCGATCCCAATATCACCCGTTTCTGTCCAAGCACCACTAACAATCAATACCTTGGTTACCTAAATAGACTTTAAGATTGACGACGCAAAACAAGCCTGTATCGGTATGATCGGGTAATTGCACAATTGCATAAAACGCTGATCACAAATGGATCATGAAAGTAAAAAAACCGACCAGACAATGACGTTTGGAAAGACAGCAATGGCAAAACATGGCTGATTGAAATGAGATTATGTTGGCTAATTTTCAACCACTCTCTCGCATTAAAAAAATACCCAGTTAATATGTCAGATTAAAGTGGCGAACCAAGTACTGGGTCATATGAAAACCGGACCCTGCTCGTACGCTCGTCTCGTCGTTATGAAACAAGCGAACTGTTTGATAAGATTCTGTACATTTAAGAACCTGATGTGTTTGCAAAATTCGCGAAATGCAGGCTAGTCGATTGTTCCAGATTCTGGCGTCCCGTGTAAGGAGAAACTTCGCAGACCTGCTGATACAAAACTTGCATCTAGCCACTGCGTTCACTTAATTTGGTGTGTTAAAAACGGCTGATTGTATTAATGGCGTGCTGAGATTGTAAACATGTCTATTTTTGTGCAAGGTGTTGCAAAATATGACCACAATGTAGCCGTAACCACAGCGGGTCAAGCTGGGGCATAGCACATTGTTCAGGATATTCCAACTTTCAAGGAGCACCTAAATGGTGCTTTGTGAATGCTCTCTGCTTGTTCTAAGTCAGTGGGGTCACGCTTATTTGAGCCACTGGATACCACTGAACAGTATTCCAACGTGGGTCGAGCAAGTGAGAAAAATACATCTAATATATCCAATGTTTTGACTTACCCTCGCGGGAACATAAGCTAATTGTTCACGGAAATCAAATGGGCATAATTATCTGGATACCAGGTCCCGTGTCTTGTGATAAAGATTAGTTTTGCCGTCAAGTATCAGGCTGCTGTGAATCGAATCGCATTTTCAGGACGTTGCGCAACATACGTCTGTAGGAAAAGACATTTTCCAATTTGAGCACCGGGTTCCAAGCGCATGGAGGTCGAGTTGGGTCAGTTCCCAACATCATTGTTGGCCTCCGGACGAAAACCATATGCAACTTTGGTACCATCGGCAGAGGTATAATGTGCCAAAACTTACCACGTTAAAGACGTCGTAAACGTATGTAGTGTACATGACCGATGTCGACGAGAAACCATGTTGTTCCGGTGCCCACAACTTGGGATACTTCCAAGCAGGAAATTGGTGCCTCAGCCATGACCGGCTACACAACCACTGAAAGCAACGCGAGAAGGATCACTGGTCGGTTATTCTTGGATTCTGAATGGCTAGCACCTTTCAAAGGTGGACTTGGAGAATCCGCTGGTGTTTGGGTTGCTACAAGCAACCTCTATTGAGACCTCAGTTCACTTGAGGTGGACCTCGGTCATTCCGATCTTAAAGACCGTAAGTAAAGAAAACATTTAAAAAATGAGGGGAATACTCTGCTACCACATGGTACAGGACTGCTGTTCATCCTAATATGTTTAAAAGGATCTGGGTAATAGTTTCGCTAATTCTGTAGCAATCACTGTGGTGGTAGCAGGCGAACCAGCAGCAATGATCCTAGAACGACCACTTGTTTGATCGTATGGATAGCTCCTAATCGTTAAGTGATCTGAAATGGTGAGAAGAAAGCTCAAGTGGATGCCACTAGAGGGATGATCGGATGAAACTTGCCGATTTGTGACTGGCTTTGATTGATGCGAGGTACGAAATGAGCATTTGTTTGTCTGACCAATAGAATCTTGATCGAGGTCCTGACTTCGTTTTTGATTCACGGAGGATCATTACCAGTCACTCCCTAGAATTTCGGGTGCATATCGCCCGGGTACATTTTGCAACGTGTGATTGTTAGTACGTTTTCTCAGTGTTACTGTGGATACACAGCGTAACATACAGTCACAGAGTATGGTGGCGTGGCCACTTAAACATGAAGGACTGTTTATCATTGGATCACCGACCATGAGCTCTTCACACGTAAGCACTAAATAAAGCATATATGGTTTATTTCCAGCTTTGAATCTTGTGGGTGTAAGGACATTGCTGAAAATCGGAATGTTAGCAATAAATGCTTGCACGTCGGTCCTGAACTACCCACTGGGAATAACTGAACTTTCAGAGCGTAAACACTGAAATCACCAGAGATGAGAACATGACTTAGTTTGGGTGCAGGACTCTTCTCAAGGCAAATGTCAGACAGTTCATCTCTGGAACGGACAGTGGGGGACGATAAACAACTATCACAAGGCAGGTGTGGTTGCGTCCCAATCGTAGAAGACATCAGAGTGAGCCTATGATCAAAGAACGGTTTTGAACTGCAAGTCACTGCAGTAGTACAAAATTACCCACCTCCGTTTCCGGGGTAATCGTTTCGATCAAGGGATATGACCCGTTTCGCGACCTAGGCGTCGGTAATTGCAGAGTACAGCCACGTCTCAATTATGAACGTGAGCCCCCAGGTATGATACGTAAAGTAGTAGGAGTCCAGCAAGCTTGTTGATGAGGTGTTGTGCATTAGTGCACATGCAGGCAGATTGCTCTGATCTCAGCAGTGAATTCGGCGGCGTGTTTTGGGTGTGACTTTGTGTCGATCAATGAAAGATCAGCCATTAATCGTCCTTTACCTGAGGCAGTGACGAATGAATATGTGACAAATACAATGACTAGATAGTCTGCTTCTTAACCACTTTCAGAATCCAGCTGAGCAATGTTTCTCGAACTGTCCTCGAGAAATAGTCCGACTAACTTACTCACGCAGTTTGTTTGCTCGAAAGGGGCCGCCTAGAATCGGAGAACAGAAGGTAGCGCTCTGCGAGATGTGAACAGCAGAGCTCTAATATCCTTATTGACATGGATGGAAAGGTCACCTTCACAATCCTTCGGCCACATCCTTTGCAACTTAGCGATCTAGGTTGCCTCCAGATTGATTACTTCACGACTATTTTCGAGAACAGAGTCTCACCAATGTATTGACTATGCTCCGGGAGGTGGGCTGTTGTTTCGCGCTCATGATGTCCTTCGACCTTGGGGACACCGTAAACAAGGATGTTCTTGTAGATAGATTTCTTCCAGTAGTATTCAAAGCCGTGCTTCGCCTGTTTACATTGGCCCTGTGGAATATCCGAGAAGACGTACATGGAACATGACTCATTTCGAAGATATCGACAGCAGAACTGTTTATTCCATCCGCAAGATTCAGCACAACTCGGAGAAGTCTCTATTCAGTGTAATGCTTTGAGTTCGGATAAAGGGTTGACCGTATCAGGTTGTTAGAATCTCACAGATGAAATCCACTGGTTCGTGTTAAAGAAATTCCTTATTTCAGGGAATGTGACGTCACTTCAGGAACATTGGTGCATGTTACTGACGGCACACTATGTGGTCTCTTAATAAGCATGTGTGCAACATGAGTTATAGCCGACCGTCCCGATGGTCTACATACAATTCGTGATGGCTGTGAGCGTTCGGTTGTGAATGCTTTATTTGTTTTGGATCCGGATCCCTTGGTGGTAACTCGTTCTAGCAACTGCGGTGTCAGTGTCCACCTGATGATTCGGACGACGTACTATGAACTGGTAGTAGTTATGCCAATCGGACTGGTGGTTGATCTAGACACACCTGGGCCACTGGTAGCATTGGCAGACTGATTGACGTTCAAAACTGCGGGTGACACTTGTTTAACTGGCTTCCAAGCCTAGTTCATCAAAATTGAAGCAGAGCCAAATAGGGAGAAATGTGGCCCACTCTGTCATGCTAGCTTGTAGTGAAACCATTATACCGTTCACCATTTGCTCAATCGTTGAAACCAGTCCTTCGTACTTCTAAAATAGTTCAGGTACGAACTTAAACAGTAAGATGGACGCACGCACTGCGCAGAAGCAGAAGGAGCTGGGTCGATGATAGTTTAGCACACTCAGGATGGAAATAGTTAAGCCAGTTGGGGCATGGGGTTCTTGTACTTATATTACTTTTGTAGTAAGACAGACCACATACGACCTTATTTTCGGCAACAGGTGCGGGCGCTTTTGATCGATCGATACAGCCCGTCTTTGTTCCTGCGCCCATCGAGTCAATGGCGGAGCGCATGAGCGGTTGAAGGTCAGTGTGCGTGACTACCTGGCTGTCTACGTGCATGCCGCGTTGGCCAGCTGAGGCCGTCGCGTTTGTAGCAAGATAGGATGCGTCACAAGGCGTTAAGTGACTGGATCGATCGCACAAAAACCGGTACAGGGGATAAAAAAGCGAGCGAGCAATAAACCGTACAAAATGTCTGATATCGTCTTTACTTGGCAGCAGACAGCCTTCGTTTGCCTTATCTAGATCGTTGAGGAAAGGTCTATTCCATCCGAACAAACTTGCTGTTCGGTTGCAACAAGCCTTTGCAATTTCACAGTTATTTCATCAGCGCAGTTCAGCTTTAGATCACAGCTTTCCCCTTAGGATACCATGTTGCGGAGCTTAGGGAGCAAACTGAAGAGTTTGGGCACCAGGGATCATGACATGCTTAAGTCACGCTACGGTAAAGTTGAAGATGACTTTTACATTGCTAGGTGAGGAACTGAAGTGTAAAATGCAGTCAAAAAGTTTCGAATTTGCAATTAAATACTTAGCTTGTCATGTGCACTAAAGGTTATCTAAGTGTAGACACTAATGGGCTTCGTAGTCATTGCTTTCAGTCGCACACTGATTTGCTAAGATTCCAAAGGTTCGTCTGCAGAGGAAACGATAAGCAAGAACGCGCTTGTTTAGATAGTAAAACAACTTCATCCCCATGCATGCAGCAATCACTCACCAGAAGCTCGGTTTGTCATGGTGCGGACCGAGCTAAGAAAGAAAATGAAACACAGTGGGTACTAGACATCTTAAAAACTGGTGGGTGGCTAGCACATTGATGTACTGAAAAGGTTTACAGCTGAGTAACGGTTGTGTACTCAGCCTGATGGTGATAAGCTAGTTTCTGGAAAGTCAAGTATAGATGCTCAGTTGAATGATCAACCGAGTGCAGTGATGTGCACCACAAAGTTAAAGCTTGGCGTGGAGAATGAAAGTAGTAGGGAAATCGAATACCGACTTTGCACTAAAGTTATACGCAGCTCATGAAACGAAAGAAAAACTAACATTTTTCACAACAACGTGATTCGAATATCACTCCATCCCCAATAGTGTCGTCTATCAGGAATGTCATCAGAATGAGTTAGCCGCATTAGGAGAAGCTGAAGGATAAATAAAGAGAACGCAGCAAAAATGGTCATTCCAGAAATAGTGACCGGAAAACAAAAAGTTAAAAGCTGTTAGATGAGTTATTCATTCCAAAAAAGTACTATGTGAAATAAACAACCATTTTCTTAAAAGTTGGAAAAACAACTGGTCGGAATTCGAATCCTTCATTCAGTTTGCCGAATTTTAGAACAATAATGTATGCACATGAATTTGTCACAAGACAAGTGGTCTGGGTATCAGGAATTCGCTTAATCGTAGAAACTGCCATAAGAATCAAGCTCCAAACGATGAGTATGTCAAAAACTGGAGTAGTTGAAACAGCAGTATCTGTTAACTCTTAGGGCCGCATAGGTCACATATTTCTTGTCATATCAGCTAGCGTCCCGATAACCGCAGCGTGACAACGCACAGGTAAGTAAACGTGTGGCATGTGCAGTTGGGAGTCGCTGATAGTGTCAAGAGGTGCTTAAGCGTGGAAACGGTATAGCGTTCATAAAGACCTGAATAGAATAAAATCTGAAAAGGAGGGTGATTCAATGAGGAACGCTGCAATGTGAAAGTGTCAAGTACCGCGGAGAAGATTAACAAAAGCAGCACTATAATGAAAGGTCGCAGCGGTTGATAAATTTCAAGGACGAAGGGAGATTACAAGAGACAGCAGAGTAGTATAAGAGGAGAAATCGAGTTGTTGGTTACCCTTCATAATAAGTGAGGACGTCAAAGTGTAGGTGATGGAACAGGGACCAGCGGTGGAATGTGTAGTCGGATGGAGTCAAAAACAAACAGACTTCGCCTGTGTGTCATACAGGCGGGCTACAAAACGTACAAACGAAAGTAGGAAAATGCAACTTTCCAAATGAACGGATTTATGGTACTTGAGTAGATCACAGATAAAGCATATAGAAACCACACACGTTTTCCCAAGGTTACCAGATGTGTGGGGACAGAGATGAACATTCCGGTCGTGGAACGAATAACTCCAAAATTGAGAGCACTACAAGCAAGTTCGAACAGTGGTGATAATGAAAAAGATGGGATAAAAATTCGTCAAGCTTCTGCATCGTGTCCGGAAAATGGTGCAATCGACGAAACGAGATTCGCTTCTTTTTGCTCATTGGAGCGGTTCGATTCTCCTTCCAGATTCACTACACCTGAATTGAACAGACAGAGGGCGCCCGTTTGGAATGATATACCAGATTGACGCAACACAATGGACCAAACGTAGGGAATAAAAAACTCATCAGGAGATTCCTCTTCGACGTATTTGAATTTTAAGTTTGGGAATTTCTGTGTGGATGAAAGAGAAGAGAACTCTGGTCATCTGACATGACGAGAGAGACGAACACAGTATACATGGATAAGTAAGTATGAGTAGTTTTATAAAAAATAAAACATTTATTTATTTAGAGGCGATTCGTTTGAGGAATAGTCAGCGTCCGAAGGAACAAAATGGCCCCCTGCAAGGCTAAGTATACCTCGGGATTCTGCGATAACGCACAGGGGTCGGATGAAGGGAAAGGTCTATTAAATAGGAGGAACGACGAGGGTGAAGCAACAGTTGAAGTATGGGTGCCGTTAAGTAAATGTAAGGCTGTCTTGTGCCGCCCCGCAGCCTAAAGGTAACAATCCTGTCGTGTAATCTGAAAGCGTAAGGACAGGGCAGCCATCACAGTATCCTTAGCCCACATGCGACCGGTGGTGGTCGCGCGGTAGCTAAGTGTCGGTACTGCTTACCAGGCGTAGTGCTGATGCTTTCTTACGCTGCCTTGTTCATACGATCCTCGTTTAACCGAAAAGTAGCATATCTGAAGAAGTGGTGAGTCAAATGTCACTTGAATATTTGCATGACCAAACAGCTTCCACAGGATGACGGTTTTAAAGACCTAAATAGGAATTTTGAGTTGCTATGGTAAGCATTGAAAATGGGGCTTGACGCCGAGGTCATTTCTAACTAGGGGATGCAAACCGGTGCAGAACTTGCGATGAAATGGAGGGTTATTAGGGAGTCATGTTAGACAGTTATTTGCCTCGCGGAGTTTACAGTGAAGATGGCTGAGGTTGAGTTTAAATCAGATCACGGTTCAAATAGAGAGCATGTTGCACTCTAGACACACAACAGGACCTTAAACGCCCAACAAATACCCCTAATAGCTGCTTCCCGATTCAAACAGTTTGGTTGGCATGCCATAGACCGGAAAGTAGGTTTGGAATGATGCACTTGCCCCCGCTGATATTAACGAATAGCACTAATCCGAAGTGAAAAACCTGGGATCGTAAAGACCACTGAAAAATGCAAGTAGGCATTCCGTGGGCAGTGGAAGATGATGCGAGCAAACGACAATATCAAACATTTATTTACATCACATGATATTCCAGCGACGGAAAGAAACTGAGATTGCCTTGAAGTACGCGGTGCAGAGTTAGATGGCGTGTCGTAGTTCATTCATACGTGTGATTCTAAATGAATGCAGTAACCGTTGTGACAAGCATAGCTCGGGGGTCGGTGGCGTAGGAGTGAGGGGTCATACACTGGCCTCTAACATCCAGGGTTCGTGAGCAGCACCCGGCGTGACGAGCACGAAACCGACCGTGGAGTGCAGTGTTGCAGACTTGACGTGCACCTAACAGTGACTTGCGCACGAATCAAACACGTTGCAGTCACGATTCTAGCGTGCTACATGAGAAGAAACATGGTGACATGGAACAATCGACTTGGTGACAAACATCATCCACTACACCTGGGTTGAAAGTGAAGGTGGGGCAAACACAATTCCCAATCAAGGACTAACCTTCAAACTGCAATGTCGGTGAATGTTGGGCGAATGTTTGTTGATCAAGGCAATGATGGCAGTGGGAGACGTTGGATTTTCGCCCAACTCTTGTTCTATTTTTGTTGAGAAAAAGGATAAGATGGTATCCAAGTTTTGCACCACACTCTGAAATGAAGGTATAAAAGGAAAAAGGGGGATAAATTGGATTGAAAAGACAAAGCCGATGCTATTGGGAGTGAATTGATGCTGCTAACTGGATCAATACAGTGGACCATACCGATCTCATCATTTTCTACAGATCAGTGATTTTTTGGATTATACTTCTCAGAGAGACTGCATTCATCGTGATGATGAATTGGCCTCTCTTAAGTGATTAGGGAACACAAAACAAGATAAAAAAACGCCGGTAATAAGACAGTGATTAATCGATATTTGGTGAATATTACAGAATAAGAAAGATGTTTTGCGGATTACGTCAACGTAATTACTCAGCCGCGTCAAACATGCAAACGGGGCGGCGACAGGACTGTCAATAACGACTATAATAACAGATGTACGGGTTATAACGCGATGAAACGAGATGACGGTATTTGACCCAGGAATGACGATATGATCAGCTAGTACAGAGAACAGTGATCCGGAGGTCCATGAGGCTGGCGAAGCGGAGGAAATAGGGTAGGTAAATCACATAATGTGGAATGAAAACAAATGGTGAATGAAGGTATACAAATCTTAGTGATTTAGCAACCAAAAATGTGAGTGTAAACCGAGAGAATCTGTCGATCGATGCATGCTCTCCACAAACTCAAACAAGCGAAGCAACGTCAGCACCGCGGGTTCTATAAGCTTATTCAATGTTAACGGTGTACTCATGTTTAGGTTGAAACGTTGTTGCTGCAAAGTCAAGACTAGTCATTTGTTGGATAGGAAAGTACAAGGAGAAACAAGAACGAGCACAAACTTGGGGTGTTGAAAGTATTCGGTTTTCCTCCGAGTTGGGTATTTTGATTCGGAGAACAACCATGTCAAACATACTGTTGCTCCGTTCGCATTACCAATTGCTTGGAATACATTCCCATTCGCATGAGGTGTTTATTTTAGATTTTCACATCAGTGATTCATCTGCCGCAAGGCATTAAATAAATAAATAATTTATTATCGACATCGCGCCTGTGTAGACGTGTTGTGTATCATATTGTGTATCGCCAGGTTTGCGAAACAAAATTGTCGATGGATTATCTCGCTTACTCGAGAGGCTGGACGATAACAGCAAAAGACTCGGAGAAACTGAATTAGTCTCCAGCTTTGCTCCGACCTAACTACCTTCACAATGGAGAAATAACGAATGAAAAAGCCAACAATCAACAAGTACATGAATAAAGCGAGTATGTGAAACAGGGAAAGAACAAGAACAATATAGTCCCCGGCGAGTGCATTGCGTAATAGGCAATTCGGGATGAACTGCAGCAATAGTGACAGATGAGCGAGAAAGCGGATTGCCAACGCGCGAGTTCGCCACAAATCTTGTTTGGGATAGACCCTGCGAGCATGTTGCCAGGGCCCGGCCGAAAGCTGATGAAAGCGAGCATCAGACAGCATGCGTGTTGCCAAAGGCTGACCGGAACCTGATGAAATCGCGAGTCAGACATTACGTACGTTGCCATGCCCCGGGTAGGCGCATGAAGGCTGGCGTGCCCGAGCAAGACGGTGAACTGGCCAGACGGAGCGGCCAATCAAGTGTGGAGCGTGGGCTTACAGCCAAATAAGCCAGGCGATGTTTAGAGGATTGGTGAGACCGACATATACATATGAGCGTTCTCTGTCCTAATACAACGCTGGTCAGCTGAGTCTTCTTCTGTCTTCCTGTCAGGTTTGCCAAGGCGTCAAGCATAGCAGGCGAAAGGGCGCAGATTTAGCAGCAGGCGTAAATCAACCGGTCGATTGCGGGTACAGCGTCATAAGGGAAAGTTAGTTGTCTGATGCATGGCTCGGTGTTTATAGCTCCATGTTAGTTGGTAAGCAAAATCATTGCTTCTGCACACGAGTGACATAAGGGTATTTTTCGGACCGAAAACCGCGCGAACCCCCTTTTGGTGGCCACGAATGGCCTGTAGCATTGAGGCACTTTTGATGAACTGTAACGCTTTTCGCCTAGCGGACGAAACTGCTCTGCCAGTTGAAGCCCCAATACAGCGTATTACTTACCCAATGAAGCCGTGGGCTAAAATCGCCATGAATATTATGTGAGGTTTTGTCACCGTTCCTAGGAATAAGTGGGCTCTATCTGTAGCTACATGATTTTACAGGAAGTTGGTTGTGCGACCAAGGAACTACATCGGTTGTGATATGCTGGCTTAACCACTTGTTCAGTTGTTTCGGACTATCGGAAGAAACAGTCACGGACAATGGATCAAAGTTTTGTAGCCGCGACTTCGCAGTTTTCCTCCAGTGCCATAACCTATAAAATCCCAAAACTGCACGTTACAATCCTGCAACCAATGGCATGGCTGAGCGGCTAAATCGATCCCTCAAGGAAGCCATACAGACCAACCAATTAGGAGGGTAAAACTGGGAAGATGATGTCTTAACTATTGCATTTTATTACAGAATTTGTGATCACAGGGCAACCGGAAGAACGCCGGCGGAGCTGATGTTAGGAAGGCCCTTACGTACCAAACTAAATGCTATACATAACCTGTCAACTGCGGGACGGGCAGAACTTTCAAATCGCATAGCACTTTACCTGAATTCTTACGCCATATCGTCAACTCCTATACAACCTGGAGCATACGCTCGCACTAAAAAACGAGCTACGCACAAAGGCCACCCAGCTCTATCAGCACTATTGTAAATCACAAAGAGGCTAGGCCCAGGGACCCATCGATTGGAAACGGCCTGATTGCCAATGAAAGTCGGTTGCACACCGCCCATGGACCAGCTACCCAGTCTCAACCAAGCCGAATCACCACTACCGCGAAGTCAGCTTCGCGCTTCGAAGCCTGTCGATCGATACCAGCCCGCATGACGCGGCTCTTCCAAAGGGGGAGTGGTCGTTGTAGCTGATTCATCATCATGTCGCTACCCATGTTTCATTGGCTGGTTGAAACACAGCAACTCACTTCTCATAGTTTGTGTGAAAGCTAGACGGTTAAAATTGATTATTCCGTATGATGAATCTGCTACCTCTTGATTGAGTACGGATACAAATCCTGCTTATTTCTGTTACTTTCTTGATACAAAACGGATCATCTGGAAGAGCTTGCGATAACTGCCTACAGCTCCTGCTTCTTCCATTTCTTGAGTCCGACTAGTCCACCAGGCTTCCTAGTCAGCATGCAAGCTCCGCTTTAGTTCGCGCCAAATAATCCGCTTGTCACATCGTGCTCAGAACCAGCCGGGAGTTTCCTTTTCAATTCCAATAGATACACTGACCTCTTGGATATCCAGTGACTGATGTGGTGGCGACTGATAGTGCCGCCAACGGAGGTCCTACATGCTGCATATCAGCAGGGATCCTAATCCACTGAAGCTCAGTGTCTTTAGGACAAAACAGCGAAAGTTCGGTACGCAGTGCATCCTGGTAGGCTTGTCTGACGGAGGACTAAGATAATTTCACAACTGCCAAACGAGGGAAGTGCCTGGTAAGTCTCCCGGTAAAGGTCATGAGAAAACGACCGTGTACTAAGGTATGATCATAGTCGATGTAAGTACTCCAGAATGGGCGACAACCTAGGATAGAAGCACGCAACCTGTAAATTATGGCAACATGATCTAGTTGGGTCCATCGATGACCAGTTACCGGAGGACGCCAAGCGGCCTTTGACAGCCACTGTCTAAAAGCTCGTGCCCCGCACACAGCTGTAACAGACGTTCGCCGTTGTCAGTCCGTTCGGAGTTAAGCCCATACTTACCACCTAGCAAAGCTTCTGAAGAGCCCAGACGACCAACTTGCGCATTAATATCCCCTGCAAGAACTATGATATCAGAACTGGCAACATTGCGTAATAGCGTGTTCAGTTAGTGCTAGAAAAGGTACTTTGCAGCATCTAAGTTGCAGTCGATGGGGACATAAGCGGAAACGACAAACAAACAGTGTCCAGTGCCACTCCGCGAATCAACCTTAGTTGATGTCGTCAAACGGACTGCATATAAACGGCTGCACAAGGGAATCCAATCAATCAACTATGACGCCCATAGCTGAGAATAATGCCCACTCCAGCTTGACCAGTGGTTGCCGCATCAGCGTCTCCGGATGAGTGTAACTAACAGCAAAAGGACAAGCCGGGCGCAGTTAATTCAAAAACCCCATTAGGATCATTGATCCCAATTTCGGACACAGGACACACATACATACCCAGTGTGTCCAACGTGCTTACAAGTGCAGTCTGTTGACCTATTTGTTAGGTAGTGCGAAGGTTGAGTGCCGCCAGGGAAACGGAACAGTGCGGCGTTTTAAGAAGCTGTTGGCGATTGGCGCCCGGTGGCCAATATGGGAAGACATCTGCAGATATTAGAAATGCAGTGAGATTGCGGCTGTTGTCAATTAAAGAGGGGAATTATAGGAGGAAGACTGGGGGGAGTAAGAGAAACATGTGGAAAAGAAAGAAGGGAGGCGCCAGCAGTAGCATATTTTGGCTCATCCGCAGTGTGAAGCAGATAAGGATACCCTTGATAATCTGCGCGACGGTCGATGCAGGATATGATTGAAGTTTGAGGGAATAGTCATGGTTGTACGTGAACAGAGATACCGCCAGGGTGCCCAGACCTAGACAGGAGAACGATTAGGGTCCTCAACCATAGTCATTGGCTCAGAAGGTGATTTTGTCCGATCACTAACCACTGACAACGTGGTAGGAGTAGCTCTCAAGAGGTGAAGGGGCACCGCCCAGTATTGCTCAATGGATCGACGAGGTACGCAAACCGTCGGAGCAAGTTAAGGTGCAGTGTCGCTGTACGCCTCAACGTGCCGCATGGCAGTTAACATGGACAGTTCATCAGTGTGCACATACTTGCGCTAGGCACTGTGTTTACAAAACTAACATGTATGTACCGGTATTTATAATGACCCAGGAGAATGGATCCCCTAAGTGGTCAGACTCTGTGTGTCTAAGAGAAGTTCGATATTAACACAAATGTCGTAAAAATAGCGTGAAGTATACGACGATGTACAAGGACATTTCATGATAAGGAATTAACCTGGCACGTCGACGCGTAGAGGTCAAACACTGGGGGCAAGTGGCAACAACGGGTGAGAATCGAGAACAGACATAATTAAAGATAGAAAAGTAATGGACAACAGGATATAGACCTCTGAGAAAAAAAGCCTTCTATAAAAGTCACCGGCGATTCAGATTAGGATGCAGTAATCAAGAAGTGCCGTTGGAAGAAAGGCTAAACAGATAACCCACTTGGAAAGATGGATGAGGTCGGAGCGAGTCCAAACAGTCGCGCTTGTACAAAAGTGAATAGATCAGGTTGGTGTTGTGAGATAGTACGTGAGTCAAGATTGAGTTCAGAATTTCCAGCAACATACGGATGACCTCCTCGAGCAGAGACAACTCCTGCATCTACAATCGAGCAAAAGAAACATCTTGTGGGTAGAAGATTGGTCCATCTTGAAACCAGACAATAGAACGGTATGAAATTATGTCAAAAAACCATGCACTTTGTTTGTCAGACAACGAGTCTAATGCGTAACCGCAACTAAAAGAACCTATGGGCATTACTGTTACATTGAAAGCAGGAAATGCTCGTGTCGCAAAAGATTCTAGATGCCTAGCTACAAGAAACCACAGACAAATAGGTAACGAATAGGCGAAAACCCAACTTGATGCGAAACAGCAACGGCGAGCGCAGGGTAGTGTTATACGAAACAATAATCCCCCGGGTGGTCATCAGAATGTAGCGGTATTCACATAGTGCACATTATCCTTGACTCACAAACCCTAATGCATCCGTAATCAAGTGTAGGGGGGAACGGGAAACAAGCAGCAGAAGACCTGGTATTAGTGAAACCATAGGTGACGAGAGTGGACAGCCTATCCACAACTTGTCAAAACGCTTGGAGCGTTGAGCTAAGCAATTTGAACGGCAATTTAATCGGTCGGAATTGTTAGATTTCTCGCCGACCACTGATCGCCGCGCTCTGTGAGCTGTCTTTTTGGATACACCCTCTCACTCGGAAGTCGAACGTGAGATCGTACTGTTGAAGTTGAACAAAGCCGCGGGACCAGATGATCTTCCTTCAGGAAAAGGAAATGAACCGGTCAGCACCGTTATTTCATGCATCGGGCTCTGATGGCTCGGCCACGTGTTACGCATGCCAGCCCACCGACTCCCGCGACGTGCGCGCGCCGGGGGTGTAGATGGAAGAAAAGGAGGAGTGGATAAGCGATGACTTGGTCGAGAGGAATGAAAGCCTTGACTTCGAGGCTGGCCTCGGTTGGAACCTCTCGGCTCCCTGGTTGGGGTCCGAAAGACGATGAACACGTTTGGCTGGATACACTTGTTGATATGGCTAGGAGCCGACCTCAGTGGCGTTTGTGCTGAGTTTCTTTGCCTCACCACATCGCTCTTAGCCTCTCCCTCCAACCACGATCTCATTATTTAACATTTTATGATTTTGCATAGTAAATTACTGTTTCTGCTGCATAGTGGCCGGTGAGTAGCTTACCGGAACGATGCCCATCCGTTACCGGTAGCTCAGCCAGCTTGCACCTGTTGCACTTTATTCCCTTTTTTCTTTTAGGTATTGCGGCACAGTAGCTGAGGTGTTTCTCACCTCTAGCTAACGTGTATAGTGTGTGTGTGTGTGTGTGTGTGTGTGTGTGTAGGGCGCAGCAGAGAACAGGTGGAATGGACTAGTAAGGAAGACAACGAAAACGACTACAGGCCGTGTTGAAAAGTATCTCTAATCGAGAGGTAGATGTGCGAAATAACTGATCGCAGCGGAGGAAACCCAGGTTGACACTAAGTTCGTAGATCAATCAATATCCAAACTTAGTGACATGGAAAGATATCAGAACATCTAATTGAATGCAAAATAACAAGTGAAAAATATACGCTAACCGTAAGTCTCGGTAAAGTCGCTTGGCATTGCTGGCGATACACACACACACACACACACACACACACACACTGATGATGTCACCTCGACTGGTGACGAAACGGTTACACGCAAATTGCTCAGCTCGCTGAACACCGTAGCGACTGAAGACCCAGGCCGAGTTACCAGACCTCCGTCATATCTCCACCACCAATACATAAATTTGTGCAATACCGGTGATAACGCATACTAACAAAATGGAAGAGAATATGGAGATAGGGATATACAACCAACACAATGACGTCACCAGTCTTTCTAGTAACCACATGCGTTATGAAAGAACTCACCATCGTTTCTTCAGGAGACCGATCAGAATCATTCCGCGAGGATCCGGAGTTGCAAGATGAGAGTGCGCTATCCAAGTAAGGTTCGCCCTGTGAAGAAGGTTGGCGGATATGTTCCACGGCTCGATTGTACCTTTTTGCGAGCAACTGTAACAGACTGGCAAAAAGAAAAAGAATACAAAGACGATGGCGGGTTTTTTAATGACATTGTGCAACACAAATCACAAGTTGATCGAGATTCATGTTAGGGGAAATCAGGATACGTTCCAAAAGCAGTCTGTACATGAGGCGACTGGGTAGAACAGAAAAGCGACATGTACCCAGGGAATGACACCAACTAGCACCTTGATAGCCGTGAAACCGTCAAACAGTCCCTATTCCATTTAACAGATATCGACAAACTGATATAACACGAGGTGCACTTTCCTTGAAGGTTAATAACTCGCGGGCATTATCGAACAGACTAGTATAAGTTCAACTAAGTCTGCGTCGGCCTGTAGTTGAAGGGTGAGTTACATACAGTACGAGCAGGCTGATGAATTAGAACCTAAACACTAAATTTCGGCAGATATGGTAACAAAGAGGTGGGAAATGGCGAAAGAAAAGCAAGTTAATAAAAATACACCGCAGCTATTTATGACGATGATTCTTGTATCGAACGACGATGAATCCAAGTGCAGGAACATACAGTGATGTGATAATGAAAGCAACACAACCAGCGAGGAGGGTATTGAAGGACAGAGCACAGACGTATAAAAAATTCAATCAGTTGTGTGACCTGAAAGAGTCACAACCCGTGAGTTGACAGTGGACGCAAGTGGGTGGGTACAGGAGCGTTACTGACTTCATAAATCGTCCATGTCAATTTGTGCATCTAACCGGTAGTCTAGCGGACTACGAACACTTATCCAGGAACGTAGCAATCGCAAGCCTAACCATGCCCGTCGATCCATGGCCTCCGGAACTATGACCGCATCATCATCTTGGGACTTCGCCTGAGTAGTACAGCAACGGTAGACAATACACGTCGAAATGGTGAAAGTACTTGACCTGGGCAACACAGGCAGGGTTATTTCATAAGACGACTCAATGCAATACCAGAGAACAGAGTGCAAAACATCAACATCTAAGCAGAGAAAGCACTTTCACCATCCAGCGAGCTAGTTTATGTTGGGGTGCGTTTATCAACGTGAGGATTGGTCTGAGTGGTACTCCACTCTTGTACGTCCTTCGGAAGCCCACATAGCTGCAGTGTGGTTGAACCACTCGGCTTCAAACTGTTATAAGAAGCATTGTCGATCAGGCAATAGCAAAGTAGTATTAATAAATGATGAAGTATACGGGGTTCGAACACAATCACGTCGTCTGCTTTCTAGTAGTTAAAATTTGTGGTTGATATTAAATTTGATACTCATCTTCATGACTACTACGCCTGAGCACTTATCCGGCTTCATTACAACTGTTACTCTGGCAGACAGTCTTCGTAGCGCTTGCATATATCCGTTGGTAAGCGCACACCTTTCGTTTATTAGCGCAGTCCTCTTGTATCTAAAGCATATAAGCTTGTCAGCACTAGTTGGTTGAAGGTCCATCACTTGATCAAAGAAGTATTCAAACTAGAAATCAATAGACATCTAATTTATTCGTCTTGGAGGCACTCTTAAAAACACCAAGGCTCACGGTTGACAGGTTCACCACTGCGGTCACGTATACAATGTTGCTCATCATTAGTGTTCATCAAGGATTTCCTAAACCAAGCTAGCTCAAAGCTTTTTGTACGAACGATAGTCGCCTAACAAAAATGAGCTTACAAAATTCGACAGCAGAGGGATAAACATATGTAACGAATTTACAAGAAGCGCGATAATTGTGCAGGCAAACATCCCGATGGATGGAAGGTTGTTCTTCAGAATAGAAAATTGGTAAGCATGAGCATACCTATCTAACTCACCCCAAACATCCGTTCGTTTTTAGGGGAAATGTATGAGTTAATGACTACCATCAAGGCCTGAGAATATTCGCAGCTGGCACATCATATTGCTACAAGAGACCTGGCTTTACGATGAGGGGGGAATGAGACGCACTTGTATCGGTAGAAGCGTCGAAGGCCCTTGCGTCTGCCGTAAGCGTGGTGGTGGAGTCATCATTTAAGAAAGTTTTGTTTTGCTACTCTTCGCAAAGTATTAGTTGCTTACCATTGAGTTTCAAGCCAAGATCTGCAATGAGTACCGCTCAAGCTTACTAGTAAATATCTATAGTTCCCCCGCAGGTCTAAAACCCGAAGCAGGAGCATTTTATGATGAGTTTACTGCGGCTGTTACAGAACACATTGATTGTTCCCTATGCAATTTTGCTGGTGATCTTAATTGATTTGACACCGCTTTTAACATCAGTCTTCAGCTACAGAACACTGTACACTGCCCCACCAGGTCCAATGGACTCTGGATCTGGTATTCAATAGTGTTCTCAATGAGTAATGGGATACCGCTTGATTGCTCGGATCACTTAACAGTTAAGCCGTGTCCTGTAGTCTACAGGCCATAAGGTTACTCGTTGCAACGATAGCACGTCCAGGTGGACGCAATGTTCTGCACAGGACGCTGACAAATGACTGCAGACCTTTTCGGTCCACCTTCATTGACTCAGACCATGCAATGGTCTGCGCGAAAATCTGCATGTGTCTTGGGGGTCCGCAAAAACGAACCTTGGCAACATTGATGCAGACAGATTAAGTGATTCCTCGGCCCATACAAGCCACCAGTCTTCACTGGCAGACGCACAACTTTGAAATCCACCGCAAGACATTCATTAACACTGGACTCGGATACAAAAGGCGATGACCAATCCAATCTAACTACACAGCGGGTAATCAAAAGTAAACTGAAGGCTATGACCACTTCCGAACAATCACAGTTAGACGCCAATTAAGGGCTTACATAAATGTGTGCTCTCTGGAGCTGTTTAATCGTAGCAGAGATATCCCGGTGGAGTCAGACTGCAACCGGCAGATCACACAAAGCCTGCGCAAGGATTGCGAGGATTAGTGGTCTGAGCGTATTTTGAGATGGAGACCACTGCCCTCTCTCGCAACACCAGCAAGCTTTGCCAATGCATTCGGCCCACGGGCCTCAGGGAACATGGCGTCAGTGAGGTTATTTGCGAGAACGATTGATTTCCGATAACCAACCAGCATATGCGTTTGAACCGCTGGGCCGAGCATTTTCATTCGCAATTCAACTGAACTCCACCGTCCATTCGTGAACGTAATACACAGTTACTTACCATGGTTTGTCCCAATGGATCCATTTAGCGATGCCGAAGTCTACTTTCAGATTCGATGCTTCAAGCAATTCAAGGCTCCCGGCTTAGATGGACTTCATCCGGAGCTGTTCAGATACGGCGGAGTGGCAATCATTAGAAAGCTGCCCTCGTTGTTCGCAAAAAAACCTGACATGGAGAAAATGTGAAATACACTTGGGGCAAGTCAACTATCATCCCGATTTTAAAGTAAGGCGCTCGCACTTCATGTCTCTATCATCGAGACATTAATCTCATTTCGGTTGTATCCAAGCTATTGGCATCCATTCTGATTCGCGGACTATTCCGAATACCATGAAAAACAAGCAGGGTTGCGTCCCGGCTGTGGATGCGCCGCCAACATCTCGAACACCACCAGTTTTTGCAGACCTACCATCGTCACGTTTCTACACATAAGGGCTGTAGTTGACTCCTTTGATCGAGCTGCTTTATTGCATCACTTCCTAAAAAGGGATGCCAAAGAAGTGTGCAGCAATCCTACGCGCACTATATCTTCAAATGTAGAAAGAACGATGCAGCAATGAAGCACAATCTTTATTGACACGGTCACAAGTTGCCCGACCACTCACGCAGGTACGCATAAATGAGTCACAGCTCCTTCCAACGACGCACCATCTCTCCTGGCGTCCGTTCGCGACACGTCCAGGCACTTTCGGGACTTTGTAGTGGAATAGTCCCTGTCCATTTCACCCCAGTATCTCTGTTTCCACGGGTCCCATTCTGATCGGCCGGGATTCGTTCGAAAGCTCGTGAGTTGCTTAACCGTGTATGCATCACTCCGCTTGTGGTCGGTCTTGGAGATTGCAAGGACGGTGCTTCTGTCTGATTTATTGCGTTTTCGACGAATACCCTCCCAGTTCTCTTTGGTTAAAACTCACTATCGATCGCCGCTTGTGACCTGTCCTCGTCTGACTGGCTTGCCGAACTATCACCTCGTGGTGAGAGCGAAGTGTTCGGCGCCAATGTTCCACCTCGGTGGAGCACTCTACTCCATCAATTGTGCAGATTTTATGGGGAGGATTGGGCTCCCGTTTGGTAACCTACTAAACAAAAGATGTGTGAACCGAACATTCAGTCAGCGACTCCCAATGGGTGCGATTCCCTGAATTCGTCCCGCTGCCTTTTGGGTAGGCTATTTAGCCAAAGGCTCGGGGTGGAGTCCCCAAAGACAACTACCTACTTCAGCTTGGGAAACCGGGTAGTATCACACCCACTGACAAACCCATAGGTTGTTCATCTACTATATCGCGGTCAGCTGCCTTTACTACCTGCACACCTTATTTACACGCCACCTGTTCACTTGTTACCAATCAGTGTTATCAGTTAGCAGCTGATTCCTATTTCCATGATTCCACCCCCGATGGTTTCGTCGACACCAGAGTTCTTCCAGTAGCCCTCCTTCAGCCTCGGTCCTCTCTCCGCCTGGCATGCTTCAATGTATGTACACTTATGCAGATCTGGCAGCAGGCTGGTTTTGCGCGCACCTTGGGATCCCTTGCCATCGATGTTTGCTGTCTTCCCGAAACACGCTTGCAAGACTCCAGTACTGTGTTTGAGTTGAGATCTCTCACCGACCGCGGAGCCGTGTTTCACTTACGTCTAGCTAATGACACAGAGGCAGCTACGGCAGGCTTGGCTGGCATTGGTGTAGCGCCAAGCAGCCAAGGCGAAGCCGCGCTGCTGAATTGGTTTCCGATTAATAGCCGACTGTGTGTAGTTAGGCTTCGGGGATCATGCAGAATCAACAGATACCGTGAGGAGAGATGCAACTTGTTTGTGGTCTCGGCTTACTGCAGGCCAGAGAATTTCTATCGTGAACTTCACCAGCTCTTGGGCGGA